TTAATTGGGTTTCGGGTTTCATTATGAGCTGATACCACTTGGTGAACTATTGGGTAGCCTGAAAGTAATATGCAGCTGTTTCGTCCTACTATGGGACTCTTTACACTACGCGCTCAGTGGAGGCTGAGCCCAGAACCTTCCAGCTGACAGAAGCTGGAATTCATAAGCCACTGGACCTGGTCACAGTGACTAAATATCCCTTGGTTCGTACTCTCTGAGTATGTAACAATGAAGAGCCCTAAACTGGGACGAAACACTTTTTCAGCAATCCTAGATTTTTTTCAACTGAAGCAAGAATAACCCTCAAATTCTCACAAGAGTCTTGGTGTTCATTCCCATGTCTATGAATAAAAGTTATTAGACAGAGTTAGACTTAGATAAGGGTGAAGTTAAGAATGAATTTAAGTTGGATGAGGATCAAGGTGAATGACAGAGAAGTAAAGGTTAAGGTTAGGAATTATTTCTAAGAATTTAGTTTAAGGCGAATTTATAGGAAAAATCTCTCCCATAAAAAAACACTTCAGCACTCCAGTCCACAGGAGAAGAGAAGAGAAAAATTTACTAACAGCTTCCGCGAGAAAAGTGAGAGATGTATGTGGCATGTGCTGCATCGATGCAGAGTGATAGGAAGCGACTGAAAATTGAAATCTCCATTTTAAGTTTTCAGGCGTAGAATTGTTTGTTCGTTAAACCTGGATTTTCAAGTATTGGATTTAGTTTACGTTGTGGCCATGAAATGATTTTATTGGACAGCGTTTTGTCCCATTGATTAACCTTGGACAAACACTATCAACCAATCAGAACAGTTTATTATCCACTGACCTAGCCGACTTTCAGTTTGGTTAAAAACGTATAAATAAGATACATTTTTCCTGATTACCCCCATAATTTCATCAGAAATGTCTAAATTTGAATAAAACTGGCAACAACAAACCACCCTGAAAAACTACAAGAAAACTCATCCTACATCATGTATAAAGACTATTTCTGAAATAAGAAATAGACTACTAAATCCACCTGAAGTAGAAACACATCAAACAAACCAACATAAACATTTCATTGAGCACTCTATAGATTAAAGAATCCAACAGCAAAAGAAGATAGAATCAATACCTTTTAAAAATTTTGCTAGCGTTATTAGAAGACGGAGATTATCTGAAAAATGTGATGTATTTTCGCTATACATTTCGAGCAGTCTGAAGAGATGATGCCTCAATAAGACGGTCTATCTACAGAAAGCCCACTTCGACAGGGAAATACCGCCTTAATTTTCACTGCTTCTGTCCATTACAGTATAAGAGAGGCTTGGTGGAATGTCTATTTAAGAGGATTCAGTGTCTCTGCACGGCTGATGTTATAGACAAAGAAAACAAAATATTAATGGATACTCTTGTTGAAAATGGATATCCTTTAAAAATTCTCAACAGGTGTAGAAGTCAACTAGTCTCTAAACCTACAATTTATACTGCCCCTAAGAAAAAATGTTTTCATCAAATTACCATATAACGGGGAAATAAACAGTAGGATTTTGAGACAAAGGTTGAATTCGGTCATTCGTAGGACCTATTATGCAGCCTGTTTGTAATTGTCGGGATAGCTAAATATATGCTTCACTTCAAACCTCAAAAGTGCACAAGTGATTATCTCACATTCCACACAATTTATTGGTTTTCGTGCGTGTTTGGACCTACATACGTAGGGAGGAGTAGTCGCGCTTTTCACACGTGAGAGTGGGAGAGCATATCCCGAAATGGTTAGAAAAACAAATGAATTGTGACAAGCCAAAAGATGCAGGTTTCAGACTATCAACTGCGTCTATAGCTAAACATCTGATCGATATGAACCTTAAGACTGATATTAACTCAGCCTTTAAGGTTATCTATAAAAACGGTCAAGGGCACTTATTGAAATACGCTGAAGCTATAGCTATTCATAAACTTAAGCCCCTCCTTCTGTGTATTCGAAAATAGTTTATCATTACTCTTAACCTAACTTGGTAATCCTTATTTGATTGGATTACCAAACGTTGTGTTAATTATTCTTAATCCTTTTTTGTCACTTTGTTTAATTTAACTTTTCTATACATATTGACTTGACAAGTAAATATCTGATCGGATTGTTCGAAATGTGTGGCGCCAATACATCACACTGTTTTTCAGATAATCTCCGTCTTCTAATAACGCTATCAGAATCAATACCATTTACAGAATAAATTTCATTAACTGTGATAAACACTACACTGATCAGAGTGGACATCCTTTTCAACTCAAAATCGATGGAAATAAACCAATTGTGAAAAGACACAATATGCATGCTTTCATACAGATGCATGGAGACAACTATGAACACCGAATTCGTCAAGAAATTCCTAGAAGCCTGGTATTCAGATGGCTGGTGTCTCGTTATGTCGTGAATTGGCAGAAGTTAGAATTCATGGACTGGCCATTGGATCGGGTCCCGGTAACTTAATGGTCTACGAGCTCGTTAGTCTTGTAACCAGAAGGTCCTGGGTTCGAACCCTGGCCGTGGTTGCGTACTCCTGAAGGGTCCCAAACTAGGGCGAAACAAGTGTCCAGTACTCCCAGTTGGTTTTCCAATGGTTGTCTAACTAATGTCAGCTCATGATGAAAATCCTGTAAACTATCAAATCCCTACAAACCAACACTAGAGAATCAGAAATTAACAGATACATGAACATAGCTTAAATTTATAGCCAAATCAAGAATAAACCCCGTGATGAAAAGCGTCAAATACCAATTCAGTGAGAACGATCATCATTCATGCAAATGAACAATCATTCACGACAATGGTTGTGAGAAGATACAATGAAATCATTGCTGCAGAGTCCAAATGAATTCAGTTCATGTCGAAAAAATTGTTGTCTGGATGGCAGGACAATGAAAGCTTTGCAGTCAAAAACTAACCGTCAAGCACAGTAAAGGTAACCACATCAAAACCATTCACCTAATCTACAAATGTTTTCCAATTATTTCAGCTGAAGACCACTGATGCCATTCTTCTATTGATGTCTTATAGCTGAACTTCGCCCTACAGGAAATTAAATCTTCAAAATTAACCTGTGGATGGTGACTAGCGGTGGAATCCAGGATACACACTTCGTCCTATTTAGGACTCGTCACCTGGATGTACCTGCCTTTTCCAGTGACTGATGATGTTCCCACCGAGGCACGAACCCAGTGAGCATAGTTTCAAACTCCATAGCGTTATCCACTATACCACTTGGGTCACGACAGCCAACTTTTTTGCAACAGGTCATAGTAATTACTTAACTGAATCTTAGATTTTCCCGTTGATTGATTGGACGAGTCCAAAATAGGACGAAATGCGCTTTATCCTGGATTCCACTGCTAGTCACCATCCACCAATTAAATAATAATTAAATGCCCAGACATCGTCGAAGCATCTGCACAAGAAGCCGACATGTCAACCTGAGATAGACCGAGTACTTCAGTCCAATCAATTGACGGGAAAATCTAAAATTCAGTTAAATTCAAAACCTTCAGACTTTTAATATTACATCAAAGCTACTCTTTTTTACGCATGAGATCGAGAGAAATAACCTAGAAATCAGTAGTTTGTGTCAACTAATTCAGGGACAATCACTGGATTTATTGATGAAAGTTTTGTTCCTCATTACCAATCACTATGATATTTTCTGTCAGAACTATAAGAACACTAAGAATGGTGGGTTGAAATACTTTCAAAAATGAGCAAATGAACATAATAATGTGACGTGACACCTTTGACTGATTCCGCCAAAAATGCAGAACAAGATTAATCCAAAACAAGCAACTTTTTAATAGAAGAGGATATTCTGACAGCTCTTAGTTTAACCAGACCTCCTATTTCTCTGTTAGCCAAGTTATATTGTGGTGAGAGCTGGCTGCTAGCCAAAATTGGTAGACAGTAATTTACGTCAATGTTCACATCCCCAATATTGGTCGTGCGAAAAATAAGAACAAAGACTGATTCAACAACCAACCACAACACACTTTGCGTGGGCGGATATAAATAGCATATAGATGATCTGACATTCAAGAAACAGCCACAAAGAGATGAAAGATTAACTGTCAGTGAGAAACAACCAGTCAGAAGACTGTGTGTTTCTGCTAACAATAATCTATAATAATGTACATGAAAGTCTATAAGTATATGTTGATTTCCTTAATAAAGGATCTGTTGCCTGTCCCTTGTCTTCTGTTATTACAATATAATGTCAGATGTTGAAAACAGAAAAATCATCAATATAAAACTGTGTTAGCCTGGTGAAAATTTATTCGCATGCATCACGAAACATTTTAATTATAATAATACCAGTAAGAATAGACTGTGGTTGGTAGCGTCTGCAATGTCAGAGGAAAGCATATGTTCATTGACGGTAATGGCTGATGGTGTCTCTATATCGTGAACTGACAGAAGTTGGAATTCACGGATCATAAGATCCCAAGCTAGTAACTTAGTGGTCAGCTAGTTGGCCTCTTAACCTGAAAGTCCTAGGTTTGAGTTCCCCAGTTTGCATCATTAATGAGTACTAGTGAGGAGTACCATACGTCAATGTCACAGCAGTAGAATGCTCGCCAACCACGCCACACTTGGTTCGGTGTTTGATTCCCGACCAGCTTTACTTCACTAATGCAGTGATAAGAATGATAAAGAGGGAAGGCTAGACATGATTCTAGCGACCTGATCCCGTAAAAATAAACACCAATGCTGCCGAAAATATGCCCGTCTGGCTTGGAGCCCTATATGTTCCACTGGGAACGTAAAGGAGCAAACAAAAAGACATGCAGAGTCCCAGAGAGTAGGATGAAACAGCTGTCCAGTGTGTTGTCTCGTTTTGAATGATTCTGTAAGTGATTCAAGTTCGTGACCAAATCTACATCGGGAGTTATTTTAGTAACGGTTAAAATAACATAGAAATTAAGCATGGAACATGTACATCTATGAATTCAGAGACTAAAATTTTGCAGTTCACTCACCTCAGGATCCAGCATAGGAACCTCCGCACCTTTACTCAAAACATAATATGATCCATCAGGATATCGTACCATAACGGACATTTGTTTCCGTACTGAATCAAACTCTAATACAGCATCAATAAGATAAGATTTTTGACCAAGATATTTTGCTTGTTCATCGGGTGCTGGTGAACAGGACCAATAGTCAATGTAGACTCTGTTCGAACCACCCTCGGCCAAATCACGTTCTTTACCAGCGAAAACAACACCAAGTCTTGAGGCTGCTTCAACAAGCGCTTTCTCATCTGGTGAAGTTGCCTTTGTAGGAGATAAATTGCAGAAAATTAACATTTTAAAATGAATACATTAGTTAACAAGGTTTAAACGAATGAATAATTAAAAAAAAGTCCGGTATAATACTGATTTGTCCGTATCTTTTCAGGTGCAACAACCTAATTAATGAAATCTAATGGTTCCACTTCGATTTTAACATACTTTGGTACCCTGAAGATAAAATTTGAGACGATAATTTTAAAAATGACCATGGTGTACTGATGGATTCAAATGCTAGAAAAGTAAAATACTGTTGCACTTATATGTGAGTAATGTGATCAATATTTCTCAAATAAAACACAAAAGTGGCGGGCTGAAAGAGCAGCAACAAGATATTCAGGTACATATATTGTAAGGTTATGGAAGCAATTATAAATTTTTCAATAGTTGGTTTTTAAGGATTTCATTTGTTTTGAAATTTGACTAGAGATCGATATCAGTAAGGGAACCATTGAAAACCAGGGAGTACTGAACAGCGCTTTTACATGCTAGTTTCAGACTCATTGGCAGTATGCACTCATCGCCTGAGTTATAACCCACGACCCAGAATACAAACATAATGCAGTCAAAGATGACGAACGCTTAAATATCTCTCACCTTCATTGGCAAAGTTTCACAGTTAGAATTCATGAGCCATTGGATCGGGTCGCAGTGGCTGAATGGTATTCGAGTTCGCTAGCCTAGTAACCAGAATATCCAGAGCTCAAAATCTGGTGGTGGGTGCGTACTGCCGATGATTCTCAACCTAGGATAAAACAGCTGTCTAGTACTCCTTGATTTTTAATGGTTCTCTAACTGATATCAATACATGATCAACTCGTAAAAACATAACATGAAACACAACAGACTTCTGTACAGTATAAATATTCTTTGATGGACACCTAGATGACAGCTTGATATCATGTTTTCCAGACTAAACCAATGTCAGTTAACACTGTTTGATGTTGAAGGCGGTGGCTTGGCATGCATAACACACATGTCCTAACCCTCTTAATCAATATAGCTTGATATGCACACATACATGAATGAAAAGTATGAATAATAGTGATTATGTCAAAGTCATTCATTTGTCTGTTCAGTCTTATTCTTAATTCACATGAACTCGTCTTGTCTTCCTTAATGTGTTTTCCTGTTAAGGTGTAGAAATACTTTACATATATGAAAAAGCAATAAGTTAATAATTTAGATAAAGCAATAAGAAGACGTAATTTGTCAGGACAATATCTTAATTACTACCCGGTTTCTGCCGTGTTCGGTACGAAAGAAGAGCCTTAGTGAGCAAGGTGCCTCTTCAGTAGAATCCAACGAATATGCACTGAAGACAGGCGCACTTGGTGATGTTGAAGAAAGAAAGTTGACACAAACTCTGGTTGATAACAATTACATAGACAAGTTCATCAGGAGATATAAAGTAGTCAGTGGAACACCAAGATCCACTCTCCAACTCGCCGCTAAGAAAGACGTGTACATCAAGTTACTTTATATGAGGCATCATAGAAGCTTAACAACTAGACAAAAAATGAACACTGTTGTGGTTAAAAATACTTTTTATGCAGCTAATATCATAATAATTGAGAATGTGAAGCCAATATATCCATCTAAGCCCTTCGAACATGCGAAAAATTATGTCACATCCCACTGTATTTACTTATTTGGATGTACGTGTGGACACGCATACAGAGGAAGGGGCTCATCGATCTCTGTAAGTAAGGGCTGGCATATTCCTAAATGTCTCCAGAAACAAATGGAATCTTCAGAACCCATTAATGGTGAGAACGGGAGACCTAGCTCTTCTATTGCGAAAAATATTATAGAAACAGGACATACAATTGATGTTCACACATCTTTTAAACCTGTCTATAAAACGTGTTTCTAGCGTATACTAAAGTTTGTGGAAGTCCTAGCAGTTAGGAAGTTTAAGCTAGCTTTATGCGTCCATAACAAATAATTCGTCATCATACTAAACCTTTATTGATAAACTTTGTTTTGATATCATAGGAGATGTTCTATTACCTCATTTATTTGGTTTAGTGATCTTCATTGTTACTTTGACCTTCACTGTCTCCTTTTAACTTGATCTAAATAGTCAATTTTCTCCCCTCTTAACTATTTATCAATTTCATATATATACAGTCGTATGACAAGTCCGTGTGTGATCAGATTGCTCGAAATGTGTTGGGCAAACTCAACACGTACACGAATCAGGCAAATTAAGTCTTCTTTTTGCTTTGTCTAAATTTATATACGGAACTAGTTGTATTAAAAGTTAGTAATTCCTATTGTAGCATTAAGAACACAATACATTCAGCAAAGAGACTCACTCCGACAACGAATTTATTATCAAGCTACACAATTGTATATATATATATATATATATATATATATACGATTTTTAAGAAATTATATTCGTTGAGGGAATTAGATCAAAGGTATGAATACATGAAATAATAATAGTAGTAGTAGTATGAAATACAATAAAAATATTCGTGATTATAATCGTAGTTAAATGTCAAATAGCAAAACAATTAATGCCATATATAGAATAATACATAAGGTGTATAGATGTTGGAAAGGGGGTGCATAATTATAGGATTCATAGGCTAATACAAAATGTGTTACATAACATGGTGTGAAATTTAACAAGACATAATTCAATATAGTAAAAACCAAAAAAATAATAATTTTGGATTTAGAATGAAAAGTGGGACAAGCGGAAAAAATTCAGATTTAGCGGCTGATTATTTTATGGCAAAGCTTGAAAACTCTCAACTTAGTCAAACCATCGATCATTTCGACATTTATAAAAGATACGTAGATGACACTTTTGTTATCTGCTATAATAACGTAATTCTTGGTAATGCCTTGTTTCCTTCCAACAACTTCCATCCTTGTTTACAATTCACCATAGAAAAGGAATCTGAACTAAGTATTACGTTTCTTGATGAGTGCCTTAGTAGACGTAGTGACAGATTTCTCAAAAGATCCATCCACCGGAAACATATATGGGATGGACAACTAACTAATTTTCTTAGCTGGGTGCCTATCTCCAGGAAAAGGAATCTAATTCATTCGCTCTGCTTTAGGATTAAAACAAACATTTGTATTTCTGACTCAGAACTTGACTCCCTTAAAGCCACACTAGCGGAAAACGGTTATCCTAACGGATTTATTGACAGTAACACAAAAGATAAGCAGTCTAGACTGGTTACCGACTCAGTTCTAAAGAAAACCTTATTCATGAACCTGAAATTCAAAGGTGATCAAGCTTTAGATATGCGCGAAAACCGTCTCTCTAAAGCAGTCAGCAAGATGTTCTTTGTAGCAAAACTACATTTGATGTTCACCAACCGCAAGTTGTTCTCCATTTCTGTTAAAGATAAGCTTCCCATCTGGCCGCCTCCATATGTATCTATCAGTTCACCTGCTCTTGTGGAGCAAGGTATATTGACCATATCCAGCATGGTTTTACAAGGGAGAAAGGAAGTGTGTGCGAAGCTGTATTCTAGAGCACCTGAACGACTTCTGTCACACTGCCAAACCTGACTATTATTTTAAGGTCATCTACCGAATCTATGCTGACTTGCCGCGTTTTCTTTGTTACAGACTTCTACTGACAGCGGGGTCTTGGCAATTCATGACTTTAAGTCGGACTTTTGTGTACAAAAGAAGTTTGTACAATCACTAATTCTGTCTCAGCTGTAGAGAGATAGACATTTATTTATTAATTTATTTATTTTAGTTATTCTATGTACCTTACCCTCATTACTACGATTATTATTACTATTCTCACTCTGAATTGTTTCCTCTTGTTCCACTTGTCATTCTAAATCTAAAATTATTAATTTTTATACAGTTGGTTCCGTTGATAAATTTCGATAATCAAAGGAAGATGAAATCTGCAGTACAAAATGATATCGTCATTCTATTTCACAGGTTCTCATCAGCTGCAGACTATCTGAAATTACAATAGTTATATAGATGATAATAACATACTTTAATGTTTGAGTGGTAGTAGAGAAGAGATACTTTAAAAATGGCACATCCAAAATGAAAGCATTATCATTTTTAGTTTAAGTTTTCATCATCAATTTATACACTTTTTAAGTTGAAAAGACGGAGGAGGGTTAAAACAGAAAACAGAAAAAATTAATTAACAGAACAGTGTTAGCTTGAAGGTTCACATAGCAACTCAAAAACAAAAGCGATTACAGTCTTTGAGGTTTAGATCTCTTCAGGAAGCTGAGATCACTGAATTAGCTGACTAATTAATTTAATTAAAATGAAAATTCAGTTACCAAGAGAGTCTGCAGCTGATGAGAACCTGTGAAATAGAATGGTGATATCATTTTATGCTGCAAATTTCGTAATCCTTTCATTATCGAAACTATTTTTTATATTTTTTTATTTTTATTTTTACAACATTGAGTTTTATCGTATCAAATTTCACACCATGTTATGTAAGACTTTATATTCGCCTACTAGTCTTATAATTATGCACCCCCTTCCAACATCTATACACCTTATGAATTGTTCTTTACACGACAATCATTGTTTTGCTACTTGACACTTAACTATGAATATAATCACAAATATTTTAATTGCATTTCAAACTACCACTACTATTATTATTTCATGTATCCATACCTTTGATCTAATTCCCTCAACGAATATAATTTCTTAAAAATCGTATATATATATATATATATATATATACAATTGTGTAGCTTGATAATAAATTCGTTGTCGGAGTGAGTCTCTTTGCTGAATGTATTGTGTTCTTAATGCTACAATAGGAATTACTAACTTTTAAAACAATTAGTTCCCCTTATGAATTTACTTAGACAAAGCAATAAGAAGACGTACTGTTGCAATTGTGCAACACATTTCGAACAGTCTGATCGCAATCCACGTACTTGTCATAGGAATATATGTAAAGTGAATACAGAGTTAAGAGATAAGAAAATAAATTTCGGTCAAGTTGAAAG